TCAGTTCCTGGTACGTGTGAGCAGGCATTAGAGCCAAGTTCGGCTTGCTCTTTTTACTCTCCCCAGAATGCATGCATTTAGCCCAACTACACTACACTCAGTGCACACCCTGCATTGCCATCATTCAAATTCCTCCTTGTTGTTTCCTCAGGAGGATATCCACTTTTGTTATCTTTATTGGACATCGTATACAAGATTTGTGGGCAACGAAAGGAAATGATAGTGGTGGCGCTTAAGATAGTTTCGACTTGATAGTTCTAGCATCACTCACAGGGCACAGTTTAAAAAAATCACATGCACTTTAATTTTGGCCAATACCATAGTAGCCTTTTAAATTTAGCGGAATTTAATACTAGTCTCTGCAGCGTCCCGAGGCTTCCCATAGGGTGGAAGAAGGCATAAGTGAGGCTAGCCCACGTGTACAGGGACCAGACAAATTCTAACGTGACCGCAGAACGTCATATGGTCACATAAACAAAGCAATACAGTCTCTGTTTAAATGCAAAGAGACTCACAAATCCGTGACAGTATTCTGCCTCATGCATTGAGGACTAAATTATCATTCATAAAATCTATATACTCAAGGCTGTGCCAAAATGTGCTCAATGACTTTATTATTTATTCAGTTATGAACATTCTTAGCCAAGAACTGAGTGTTAAAACAAAAAAACGAGACATAAGACAGTCTCATGTCGAGTGGTTTTCTGGCATCTTTATGTCAACGATATCTATATACACACTCTACATTGGGAAGCAATAACTACCAAGGGTTTCCAATTTTATGTTACAAAGCATTATAAATCTACTATTACGAAGAAATGGATGTCTCACTTTTGACCGAATGAGGAGGTTAGCTCATTTAGACAAAAGCAGGTGAGTGGATAATCGAGGCAATACAAAGGTCAAAACAAAACTTAAGGTCTGTCATGGCGATGCAGATTTAGATATGACCAGTTTCCAGGACAACATGAGAATAGGATGAACTTGGATAGTAGTCGTCGTTCCCAACTCTCCTGTGGAATAGGAATTAGGCCATCACTCTTCAAAGCATATGCACTTCATTTTTGCTACAAGATTTGGTGCAAACTGTGGAAATAAAAAAATGATCACTACAGACGCGGATTTGTTTCCTACTGTAAAAATCTTAGCTACCCAAGACTTCTCATTAGGCATTGGTAGGCATAACACTAGGTCGGAATGCCTACGTTTAGGAAGAACGGAATAGCGTATGATTTTGGTATGGTCCGAAGAGCAGCCTACTAGTTAAAAAAGTAAATCACCGGGACTTTTCGCCCGATGTTCAACGTTTACTTTGGTATTCGCCTCATTCCTTGTACGCGCGTGTAGGCTTTTGGAAGACTTTAGGGTTCCATTCCTTCTTTATTTTATGATACATGTATTCAGCCAAGCTCAATGCCTCTTTTCACCTAGCGGGAAGTCTCGGGAAGCTACATAATGATCAGCTCATCTAATAGATGCCGTAATACCCCGTTTACTAGACTCCTTGTACGCCTGGCACTGTAATGGATGCTACCGTTTTTAATCTGTCTTAATGGGGAGTTTTCGATGCAAATCTCGTGCGTAAGGCACCCCAAGATCCTTCTGTGGCGTTACGTCAGAGTGCCGTCTTAACCAAACTCACATCCACTTTTAGTCCGTAAAGGATGCCAAACAACACTTTTAACGAAACTTTCGGGGTGAAGTCCGAGGTTCAAGATCCTGAGGGTAGGCTGATGGGCTCTACAGATACCTACTTTAGTATTTTTACTTCAAAGTTAAGGTCCATACTGGGATACTATGTTTATGTGACTACCTGACCTTCGGCGGTCAATTTAGAATTTGCTTGGTCCTTGTATTTGTGGGCTGGCCTTGGAGCCATGCTTAGACACATTTTCTCTGTCCTCGTCATATACTTTTATCCATTGCACTTACTGCCTTCTTCCACCCTATGGAATGTCTCGGAACGCTACGGTCATTACTTATTTTGCGGGAAATAACTTTCGATGCCAAACATTAAACTCAAAGGCCTATCGCCCACTTTAAGGCACATAGATCAAAACGTAATATCAAGTGTTTTTGCAATGTTCCATGTTACCAAGTAATATGTAATCCTTGTAATGTATTTGATTTAATACGGTTTGCTTAAAGTCAATATCATCGACATTGTATATTATATTCAACCTTGACTTTGTGCTATTCTTTGACCTTTATGATGGTGTGCGTTTCGTGTCGCTTAGTTCCCAGTTCGCTGGTTTGTTTGGCATGTGCGTTAGTTCTCTTAATTGTTTAGTTTTGTTCTTGCCTTAGACAGCATTTTAAGTCTGTCCCACCTCAGAATCTTAAAATCGCCTACTCAAAAAGTCCGACAAAGCACTCTTCGCCGACATCGTGCCTTGTTAGGATTGGTTCTCATTCGGCTTTTTTTTATTGTTCACTAGCTTTTCGTGCAGTCATCGTTCCCGGGCCGATGGCTACGATTCGTTAATCTATATTTGCTGCATTTTCTGTGCCTTATTTCAACTTACTATGTTTGGGTGATGTATTCTTTCGAATAGTTGTAACTTCGATAATTCTAAGATAAAACTACTGATAAAATCGAATTGATTACCTGCAACAAGGGTTAAGGGCGTTATTTCGGGCCCTTTTTCAGTGAAGTCTAATAGTGGTTGCCGGATTTTGTTTTTTGTCACGTCGTAAAATGATGACACTGCTGGGCGGTGAATGCAACTTGTCTCCTCCTTATAATTCTTATAAACTTCAGATGTTCTTACTCTGTAGCATTTTACATCTATGAAACTGGGCCTCAACACTGGTCATTACTGATCCAGGTTATATAGCTCTAGCAATGCTATGTCGTTACTTTATACTCTCTGTCTTTTTATTAGCAGATTTTTCCGATTCCATCTTTCATTGTGGCAGTTCTTGAATATAAGTCCACCTTCTGAGCAACTCTCAGTGGTAAATTTTGCCGCTGGTTGTAGAGATGTTTAAGAGATTTACTACTAGCAATTTTTTGTAAATACCTGCTTCTAGTTGTCTTTCCCATTATGGGAGTTTGAAAACCTTTTTTCAACAAATTATTTAAAATCAAGGCTGATTTTTATTTTTAGGTTGGTGGGATTGTTTCTAGCAAAATCCATGTTCAGCTATCGTTGCCATTTCTATCTGTGACTGCGAAATCTAACATAAATATATGTGACTACATTTTTTTCTTTGATCTTATAGATAGTGCCGCAAAAAATGGGGACATCTACTCTCATAGAGACTTGTGGTCTTAGCTCCTGCTTTTCTCACCTTAAATGGGAGCAGATGTTTGCGGGTCTGACGAGTGGTGTCGTAACCACAGCCGTTCTTCACCCGCTAGAGCTAGCAAAAATTCGTCTTCAAGTGAATGAGGGCTATGGAGCGGTTAAGGCTCGGTAGGCTTTCCTATCAATTTTGTTGTGCACTCTCGATCCACGTCACCGTTTATTTATGTTCTCTTCATAGACCTACGAGCTCTCATTTCATTGGAACTATGCTTGAAGTCTACAGGGGGAGAGGCTTTGCCGGCCTCTACCAGGGTGCTACACCCAACATGATGGGTAACGCGGTTTCGTGGGGACTTTACTTCTTATTGTAATTGCCACTCCGTTGTATTGTAGGTCTCTATTTGTCAACTTACCTTTTATTTTCCTGCTCCTTTTAGTTACGGTGCTTTGAAGAACTATGCCCAAGATAGTGATGAATCTAAAACATTGAAGCCCTGTGAATACCTCGGTCTGGCTGGGATTTCTGGTAGGCCTCCTTTAACCTGTACTTGCCTAATTGACTTACACTAGTTGACTTACATACTTCTAAAGGCTGTTTCTTTCCTTCACCTTCACCTTAATTGCTGCGCATTTGCAATTTGACGCTGTTTATTACCAACGCATGGATTGTTTTCTAATTTTTTTCTGTTAACAAATTAGTAATATTAGCGCATTACGCTCAAATGGATTTTTCGTGTCTGTGGTAGTGACTTTTAAATGCATTTACCGTCCCTTTCCCAGTTCGAATTTGACATTTCTTGGACGATTTTCCTTCAACTTTGTAGTGAATCTAATAAGTTTCTTTTATAAACCCGACGTAATTGTCAAACCAACTATAAAGCCCCTTCTAGTTGAGCGTAGTTGTCCACCAGGGTAAATGTATGTGAAGTTAACACCTTGAGTTTAGCCTCGTCATATCGTAAGATATAATTAGTGGAGGCAACGCCTAATGTTGTAAAATTGTCCTATTTTTAATTCGAGGTGTGTTAGGATTGTATACGAATTAATCCAGTTCTCACCTCACCACAGCTTTTGAAAATTTGTTACATTAATCAAAACAAATTATCGTGTTCACATCCAACTTGTATATCCGGTTACGTGTTGGAACTCTAAAATGAATTTAAAATCATATAAATAAGATGGTTGGTTTATTCGTGCAAACATCCATGCCACGGCACATTGAATAGCTTTAATCTTCAAATTCTTTTTCTTACTGATTCTTCATTTTGTTGCTCTATGCAGTTGGAGTCTGTATACGTTATTCCTGGTCATGTTAGTAAAGTTGGGGTATGTATCCTGTGCACTCTTAAAACGAATCTGATCAAGTTCGACCAGTATGGGCCGAGGTCTCGGAGATGTTTTGCTTAAGAAAAATATGCAAATACAAAATTTTATCATACCATTATTTTAGTTTTGATGCTCATCTCAGCCTTTTTTCGTGATTGGAGTAATTATGGCATCCTTCTTGACTTGCTGGTAGGTTCCCAAAGGTAGCTCATTGTCTATGGGGCTGTCAAAAGTCAAATGTTTGTCGTGTTGATCATACTTAAATCATATACCAGCAAATGATATAAATAGGCCGAAACGTGACTTTTGTAGGCTTAGTGGTGTTGTGGCTAACGAACCCCATATGGGTAGTGAAAACGCGTATGTGCCTACAGTACGAGACGCTGGGCGCCTCTTACCGTCTGACTACGTGGAGCACCCTGATGGAGGTGTGGAGGGTGGAGGGCATCCGTGGCCTCTACCGCGGTATTGTGCCCGGAATGGTGGGCGTCTCTAGTGGAGCGGTGCAATTTTTGTTTTACGAAGAGCTGCGCAACTTCTACAACTTGAGTTACCACCAACGCCCCATTGACACCCATCTAGTGAGTGGTTGCACTTTTTCTGATCTGTACGATAATATGCGAAAATGGCATCATGCATCTCTGCATCTCGTCCTTTGGAATTTTTAACGTAGTGTGGCGAATATCTTAAATATCCTAAAATCGCAGTATTTCTCGCTTTAATGGAGTTGCTTTGCGATTAAACATACTGGCGCTCGATGCGATTGATAGTCTCTCCAAACACATTCTGATCTCGCACAAAGTCCTCTCAATGTAGCACTTCACATTTAATGACGCTAATGCCATACAAAATTTTGTCCTGCTCACTCTTGAACAAAGACGTACAAATTCATAAAACATGTAAATTTTTCGCTCCCAACTATCTGTGGTGATCATGTTCACCACCTTTTTGGCCTTTATCTCTTTATGGCCTTAGGCGCTTAGCTTCGAAATTTGCCTTTACTTGCATCCATACTTTATTAAAGATATTTAATCCGTCTTCCTCACATATCGTTTTTACTGCGCCAGCTTGGTCAGGTTCTGCGTCGCAAATTTAACGATATTATCTCAAGCAGCAGCACAAAAGTGACTAAATTATCCGGCAATCATTTTTAGAAGACTTCTGAATATGTTCTGATGGGGATAGTTGCCAAGGCAATGGCTATTGCACTGACGTATCCCCATCAGGTCGCGCGAACACGTCTGCAGGAGCAACATCGAAACTACGGCAGTCTGACAAACCTCCTCAAGACTATTTGGAAGTAATTGTTGCATTAATCTACTTCAGTACGTTAAGATCCTCTCCACGGTGGGCGTAAAATGCACTCTCATATTTCTTTCAGGTACGAGGGTTTGCGTGGTTTTTACAAAGGTCTTCTGCCAAACATTTTACGGACAGCTCCATCGGGTGGTCTGATGTTTGTGGTTTATGAGAAATGCTACAAGTGGTTGATTGGGCTGAGGTGACAAACAACAGGTTTGACCGACGGGGACTGGAACATCACTTACACCTTTCATCTCAAGCTGTGATGCGTGCACTTTGGCCGGGCACAAATGTTTAGCATTTGATTTTTGTACATGGTTACTGTGAATCAAGAAGAAACAAATTTTTTTGCTGGCGTGGTGATAATTGCCAATCAAGCTTGGTGAGCTACGTGGAACTAAAAGGTTGTTGATGGAGATATCTCAAGTCAAAATCAAGAGTGTAAATGTTTCCTGTTGTGGTGATTGTGTACCTTGGCAAGAAGCCAGGCACCGTCTAGATGGGCTAGCAGCAAGGAATGCAGGACAATTCTTCACGACCTTTTAGATCTCACCTGCTCAGTGTACATCAGTAAGCCAACACCTATTCACGCCACGTCACATGAATGACTGCGGCCCTACGGTGAGTTCATTCTAACTTCGTGTGTAGTGATACTGGCTCAGCTTTTACATAAACGCTCATCGGTTCGTTGCAAACACTGCTTTGATCATTGCGTCTGCCTTCACCCGAATTCGTTCGTGCTGTGTTTGTTGGGCGCATCAAAATTTATTTTAGGAGATAAATAGCTCTGGTGCTTCAGTATGATGTCTCCATATGTGGGTGGGGAGTTGGAGAAAATAGTGAAGGGCACTGGAGGGAGGCTTGAAATTCGTTAGCAAAATTGAGGTGATTGCTACTCAAGTTAATTTAGTAGATTGACGTGTCCTCCTCACACACAAGTCAGGGATTGGGTCCAACGTAATGACTGCTGTAGCATCTTTATCTCAAAGCACCAGTCAGTCAAAGTTTGCATACAAATACAAGCACACATGTAAGTTTCGTGGAAGGGGGGATACCACAAGAGAAATGTTACAAGAGTTCAGGAGGATGGGACATGGGCCGATTGCAAGGGGAAAGATAGAACAAAGCAGAAAACACGAGCAAAAATACGGAGTAGTCTACTAAGTAATGTAAAGACATATGTATAGAATGCGCAATATTGTGGAGACTATCAGAAAAACTTAGACATGATCCTCGATCTCATCTTCCTCCAATGCTACCTCTGACACGGAAGTGGTAGTGGCTTCCGCTGTTATCAGATTGTTTGGCAGAAGATGTCCCACGGATTCAAGATAGGCTTGCACAAATTCCGTGTAGTACTGACGTTCATGGAGGTACTTCTTTAACCGTTCTGGTAGTGGCAGGAGGTCAATGTGATCCTTGCGGACCTTGAGAAGGATTTCAAATCGGCAGAGATGAGCCAGCGAGTGCACAACAAGGAACCGTGAAACCGGATAGAGGAGACGTGCCTCCACATGATGGTTCTCATCTTCTAATTGGTCAGGTGTGCCACCGCCCTGCTGATTGGCTGAAGTTGTAAGTGCGGACTGCCGCAGGAAGAATCGCGTTCGTCCTCGTTCTGATTCGGCGATCACGTGATTGATGAACTGGGCTATACTTGGCGATGTGGTGTCGGCATCGCCTTGAACCGCAAAACCGAATTTTCCTGGAACAAAACGTTCGGAGTTTCATGATACAAATAGTGAACGCAATCAAACCCAACAAAGATGACCCAATAAGTTGGTTTCATAGCCGTCAGATATGACACGTGCGACAACTTTGCATTAAATGAAATTAGAATTTTCAAACCAATCACAACAAGTCTGCTGCATAGGAAGGAGAACAATTTCAGATATTTAAGTAACTGAATGACACGAGCGGCTTATTCGGCTACAATGCTTTTTTAAGAACTTGACAGGTCCTTAAATTGGGGGCATGACCAAAGAAGCATCACTAAATCAAAACCATGCATCCAGAACGCTAAAACTAATCGACATTGGCACAGCTCGCTGGAAGTATATAATTGCAGTAGAGCGCAATTATTAGCGATTTAATGTCCGGAAACTACATGGAGTGGTTCCGGACTGAACAGTACCGTTGACGAAAGAGCTAGTAATTCTGTAACCTACCGCCAGTGTGTTCGATACGAGTATGATAGGTACGGTTTTCAGCCCGAAAACTGACACTCAAAATGTAGAGTTCGTGTCCACTATCACGAACGAGGAAACTGCCGTTTGGTCGATCTTTCAGCAGCAGCTCAGCCTCCTCGATTGTAAGAGGGCCCCAATACCATCCAGTCTACAGTGGTGAAAAAACATAACTAGACAAGATAGCTTCATTCCGGCATGAGGCTTTCAAATTGAGAACTTAAAGAAAATCGCCAACAAAAGCACGATATTTTAAGTATTGAATGGTCCCATAAATACGGGATATTCACTAACTACTTTTGTGAAAATAAGTACGTATAGGTAGGCTTGTTACAAAGAAATCACCTCAGGTCGGAGACCGACAAATGAGTTATTAACCATGTTATAAGTCAACATTTCTGCCACTATGATCTTTATTTTAAGCAGGTTTGTTAAATAAAGTTGGCGAAAGACAGTGCTGACAGGAACTTTTAAATAATATTGGAAACTAAAGTAATATACCTCTAGCATTGATGTACAACAATACGCTTAAAAGGTTAAATGAAAGTTGTTAATCGTCTAAGCTACTTTAGACACAATTTTCCGAGTGATATGATCTAATTTTCCGGCCAAAATTATCAGTACCGATATTCCTTGAGTACTTACCCGCTTCAATTGATTTATGTTTTGCAAAAATATTCGTCTTTGATCCGTTTGATTGGGATCTATTACGGAAGTCTGCGTATTCAACGGAATCCGTGTCGGAGGCTCCTCATTCCTTGTTTCCACTTCTTCCATCTTGAAGCTCGGTCTGGTTGGCTGTCCGGTTGGTGTTTCTACTTTTGCCGACTCGATAGCCCGAAGTGCTTCTGAAACAGGAGCTGGCGGGTCGCCGTCAGTCGTCTGCTCTATCGTTGCACAAGCCTCGTCAGCACGGCACTCTTCTGCATTCACTAAATGATTAACTTCGCTCCCGTTCTCGCCTTGCTCCTCGACGGTAATCGCCGCATTTGGTGGCCATGTGACCGAGAGCTTTATCAGTGGAGAAGAGGGTCTTGAATCTACGGGTTCAGTAACAGCAACGGTACTTGAAGCTGTGACGTTTGCAGTAGCAGGATTGCCAACCGGCTCCTGAGCCTCACAATGATAATAATGATGGAAGTGGTAGTGATGCAGCATTATGTGCTGTTTCTGTTCACCACCACTGCAGCAACTAGTAAGGCCATCGATGCTACAGATGGCAGGTTCAATACCCGCGGAAGCACAGCAACATGCAGGGATGGCTTCGGACTGAGTTTGCACCTCAACACTGCGTGTAGCAGGCTTGAGTTTTACAACTGTGCTGCGGGGTGGCGGAGGTGGAGGCACGACGCAAGGAGGACAAGTGGGAGGTGGAGAAAGGGAATGCTTTTGATGGGGACCACAGGGGAAGAGCCAGCGTGGAAGGCGGCTTCGGTGTTGGTGGTCGACGGGAGAGGCGAGGGAGACCTGTTGAGGTGTCTGATGCAGTTGTGATTGGTGGTGGTGACTACATGTGCAGGGAGCTGGTGGAAGTTGGCGTCGACGACTGGAGGGAGCTGGGTAGGCTCCGCTGGGTGGAGAAACCAGAGCTTTTGGACGTTGATGCTGTGTCAGTCTGCAGGTAATTGGTTAAAAATGTTCGCTAAAATAGCCCTCTCTTATCCTTTCACTCTACGGGTGAATCTGAAACTATGGTGTAACCACAAAACATTTATAGACAACCCGTTATAAAATCCATGATTTAGTGCAACCCTTCACGCCAACGTTAAGGGCACGGACGGAAGCAACATTAAGAAGTGAAGGCGAATGCACATTATTTTTCATGCTGACTCACGCCGCAATTGGGAAAGGATGTGCAATTTTTGCTTGCAGGATTAATGCAATGCCAAGTAATTCTGGTCAAATCTTCTTTTGTGGACGCTAAGGCCAGCAGATTTGCAAATTCCGTGTGTGATCCACAAGAACTCGCATTTGTGGGCAACCTTATGCTTTAGTTGGGTAGGCAATGGCATGTCTCTCACCTCCATTCAGTGATGTGATCGCATCTCGATTAAATTAAAATCCACACTGTTGCCTAGCAAATGGACTGCTTAAGTGTCTTGGCAAAAAGTTCATAAGCTGATCCCTAATTAGGAGCTGTTTTGCAAAGTGTAGATACACAAAAGTGTATCTCACGTCGGCACGTTTGAAAGCAAAATTTCTGAGACGGTCGCTTTCTGAAAGCTTGCAGTTGGAATTTTGAGAACAAATTTATCATAGAATAAGGAGTTAAAAGTAAACATTTTTACGAGGCATATAGGGTTTACCAGGACCAAGTTAATAAGCAGCAGCAGAAGTTTTTGTGAACAAAAAAGTGGACCATCTGAAAAAGCAATCTCATGTCAATACTGACATATCTGGTTAAGCAGAGGTTGACATCTGAAACAAGGCAAATAGATAAAATAAAAACCTATGAACTAGGAAATCTGAACCTAGGTTCTAGAAAGTAAGACAAGAGAAAAATCGTAAAACTGCATTCGAATAGGTGACATGCCTTTTACTGCTTCAAGATCTCTCGAAAGTGTAGGAGGGCACAGTGTTGGAGCACCTATGAATCAGCTACAAATGGAGGGTCAAGTCGCTCCACGGGGGTACAAAGGAAGAGCCTCTAGACAACCAACAATTGAAACCGAGAGCAAAATTAACAAAGTTCTGTGGTTTTAGTTTGCAAAACTTGAAAACAAACAGCAATGTCACATGATACGGCTCTGGCCCCAATGACTGCGAAGGCAACTTACTTAACTGTGACGTACGTGGTCATCCGACACAAAGAAGACGATGGAAATGTCATGCCGTTGTTTCGAGAAACCTGATTACAAACGTAGCAGTTACAAGACCAAGGCTACAGAATTTAGCGAATTCAAATCTCCGCAATATCTACAACTACTCCAAAGTTAAAAGGAAACAAAATCGCGGAGGGAGGAAAGTGTTTAGACTTTGAAAATAAATGAATTTCCGGCTCCTACAAACAAAACATTGAAGCACAGCCTGAGCGATAAGAGAGCGCTGATGTAAAGCAGCGCTTAGCAAAAGCCTAACAAAGGAGGCGAAAAATGAAGATAATTAGAGTACCTCATTTGATGGAAGATCGCTTAACAGCAACCGGATTGAAATCACTTTAAGCATTGCTTACTCATTTCGTTTCGTCGCATTGTTAGATGGCACCTCCAAGGTAGTCTGCACACATCTCGGATCGATTGGCACCAACTGGACCCGCCGCTGGTGCTGAGGCGGTTGACTTTTGCTTCTCCGTCTCTGTGTGTGCGCATTATCAGCACTCGTGTCTCGACTACCACCGGTGGTCTCTCCAGCACGGAACCATCGGAGCAGACGGTCTGTCAGATTGTTGGAAGGAGTTGAATCGGGAATGTTGAGACATCCTCGTTGTTGGTCTGTCGTGGTGGTCTGGAGGTTGTAGCCAGCTGTGGCTAATCGGTAGTAGACTGAGGGGTCACCCGGGCCCAATGTAGCAGCACGCTCGGGAACAAAGCTTACTATAAAAAATGTATTCGTCAGGCACCAATGTTGTAAAAAGGATTTTCTTGGGAATTCTAAACTATACTTTTGCATATGTTAGCAACGTATATTAGATTGACCATGAAGGCTTCATCCAAATCCCGATAAACTGACTTCGTAGACAGTCAACAAAGCAGAAGTATAATCTAAAAGGTATATTTAGTAACCATTCATCAAAGGAAGAACGAAATTTCGAGTCTGGATTAAAGTTATTCGTCATGGTTGGCTGTCTGAAACTCTTGGAGAAATAAATTTGTGTCTTAATTTCAATAAGAGGTCATTTGAAACTTCGCCAGTGCATCTCATTCAGGCGGCCTGAATTCCGGCTTATGACAGCACCCGTCTCTCTTTCTGTCTTCGGGAGCCTCTGCACGCCGACTTTGTTGAATAAGCATTGAAGCCTCGGTGTTTGGTGCAGCCAAGACGACTGCGATTATTTTGAAAATGCATTTTCATAGAACAAGCAACATAATTTTATACCAAGTTTGGATATATGGGCCTGAAAAGTTGCATTAAGTTAATGAGACAGAATTGAATCGGCTCTTTGACCTTGGATGGATTAATTCTACTTATTCTCACTGATATATTTGATGAAGTCAAGTGCCGTTCTCCGTCCAGACAACTATCAAAGATGTGGCATCAAGTCTATTTGCCAATGTCAAAATCAGTAGCTCTCCAGACGTGGTATTGATAAGTTTACATCTAAAATTAAGAAGTAGATAAACTGTAAGGGCAATAGGTGCTTAAGACATGCACGTTGAAAGTGTTAGGAAAGCCTTGATTGGTCATAGCGAAGGCTGGGGAGGATGAAAGAACGGCCGCATGAAAATAGTAGTACAAAGCATAAAAGTGGCAAGACGTGGGTGGCACCGCTTCTGCGCACACCGATGTACCTAAATCATCAGAACGAGTCACCTGATACCAAAGTAAAGGGTCTTTCTACCATACCAGCGAAATTTATGGGCTTCTATTTACCAACTAATCATCATTGCTTGTCATCGTGGCTAACATAAATTACTTGAAGGAAGTCATTCGGTTAACGGCTAACAGAGCCCATAAATCCAGTGCAAAATGTCAAATTGGAAGGATTTTTACCCGATCAAATTGACTAATTCTAGCGCGATTCTTTCAAGACTGTCCATAATCATGTACATAGTCAAGCCAACATACTGTGAGGTCGAATATTGTTTGTTGTATCTCAGATTTCGTTGCAAATAGGTGGTTATTTGTAGGATATACCAATAAAAGTTTCCGAAGTTCGATCTGGAGAGGTGTTTGCTGTTCTTTTAACAGGAAAAGACTTTAAATGTTGACTCACGCCAAAGCAGTGAGTCACTCGGCTAAATGGGCTACCAAAACGACAACATGACTAGACAGGTAGACAGACGATTGGGCAAAACGTGTCAGAACCAATACCACCGCCACACCCTGACATGTAGAAAGTCCTACCATTGAACCCTTTGTACAACAAATCAACAGGATACGAACGATCATGCGTATGCGTAAACTCATTTCAATCACTGTCCTTCAAACGTTAGGTTGTCAATTAATTGGCAAAATGCTGAAAAAGTTGAAGTTACACCCAAAGGAAAGCCATCAATTACAATCACGAACTCAAATGCGGGCAAGCATAGTTAAGAACACGTTTATTTCTCACATATAGAAGCCTCTGTAACCAGAAGACACAACACCAAATAATGCTCACTAAAGACAAGTCTTTCCACAACAATGGCAGCCACATGACATCAATTTCACACCCGAAACGTTGGACACCTCAGTCCTAAACAACCTAAATGTCTCGACCAATTTACTTGAGCAAAATTCTCCAAGCATACAAGAGTATCAACACTTAATTTACGCATTGTTGAGGGAAAACGACGACAGCCTAGTTATAACCATACAAGTCAAAGTTTTGCCGATCGTCTGCGGCAGATGTCATGTTTTTAGGGGAATAAACCGAATCCTCGTATGTGCTAACAGAAAATCTCAAAATCAAATACAGTACAATACCTGAAAACACTTAACTTTTTATTTGTAAACTATGGCTCTGTATTGAATACATCGACTTGCTACTTACCGATCATTTTCAGTAGCAACCTTTATATTTTAATTCCAGCACTTCTGTCTTCTGGTTGAGTCCAAGAGGTTACTGTGATGCTTGCACTATTCGTAGTTTCGACATAATTTACCCACACAGAAAAAGACCTTGTCCACCTTTTGTTCCACCAGTGAGAATCAATCCCCAGACGTCTTTTATTCTTCATTTGGGAAAAAAATTGAAAAAAAAAACACCCCTCCTGAGCATATGACCAGATGCATTTGGATTATTTCCGACGTCGAATGGTCTCATTTCTGTGTTGTCATCTTTACAAATGCATCCAAATCACAATTATCAAATAAAACAAACAAAACAAACAAAAAAGTTAGTGTCCGTGTCAGCCGATATTGCCTCCAAGTGTCAAACCATGTTAAACGCTGACAATAAATTTGTTCCATGATTTGTGAAAGTAGCCCAAACACTCGAAAAGGTGCCGCTTGTAGTGGTTTTGAAATTGCAGTGCTCTTGGTAAGAGCATTAAATAACCTTTTCTGGATATAAAATCGGCATGAATAAGACCTCAGATAAACAAGACAATGGAAGCGTGGGACGCATACCAAGATTACGACACTCAACGGGCGTTCGATTCAATGAATTTTGCCACACGGTAGGTCATTTGAGGTGGACATTAGATGTAGCTACCAGTGAAGTACCTTATTAATGGTAGTGTGCGCAAGGTTGAACCACATTCCGACGTCACAAAAAATATTTCTGCTCGTATTATTTGGGTGCATTGGTACTTTTCGTCATCATAAGTGTCCAAAAATTTAGCTATGAATTGCCAACAGTGCGGAATCCGAGATGTTTTAAGCAATGCAATCTTTGAGAATGAGGGAATGGACCTTGATTAGCTAGAAGCACAATGGACGGAACCAAAAACGATCGAGCGCCAATTATTTTTTACGCCCAACACGCAATTGAGAAAGTTCATGGACGTGCCTTTTTCAGCAATCGGTATTTTGACGGAATTTTACTACTTTTGTGGCGCTAAATGTCATTGATGGACGCATTCCACAAGAGTGCCATATCACAAGTCCATTATTTGGTTCGCCTCTTCAGGTACCTTAGTAGCCCGCTGTACAATCAAATGAGGGGGAGTTAGCTTAGCCTGTGACAAATTTATAACCTTATACAATTTAAGCGACTACATCGAACGCAGATAACGAGCTGAAAGGCCGACTAAAATGGCAAAAATAGGACTGACCCAATGACTAGTATTGCCACTAATGCGGGAATAAACAAAATGCCACTTGGAAAAATCACCCCAGGGACTGGGTAATTTGGCACCACGCCAAAATGGGCGTGCTTGCGGTGCTTTTGCTGCTGTTGGTAAAGGTGGTGAGAGCGGCACGCCGCACATGCACGCTGCGCGCTGAGGGGAAGCGGTGCGCACTTGCGGACACACGTACGCACGTTTGCACGCAGACGCATCCACACGTTGAGTACAGCCACGCATCTCCACTCAATCGATACTGCCAGGTGGCTTTTGCTGCTGCAGCAGCAGCAGCTGCTGCTGTTGCCCCTTTAGAGTGAGGGCGAAGCAGAGGCCAAAACACAGTGATTAGAAGAGACGGGATGGATCAGTCAGAGGAGAATCACACTTAAGACCTCCATGATCCAAAACTGACTTCTAAAGTGGACAAGTCCAGAAAACGGGGTCGATATGCTCAATAAATTGAAAAAAAAATGCTTCCTGAGGCTTGATTAAGTCAGCCTTCGTGAGTGTAACTACATCAGAGGCAGAGAACTAAAATTGATACCTGTGTCTTTTGTCAAAAGATTACACACTATACATCATAAGCAATTTTAGGATTCATTTGCCAACACGAATTAGTTGCGAGCATACAATTGGTGAAGTTGTCCTTTTAATTGAACAAGGTCCTGCAAGAAAGGAAACCCCATTAAGGAAGGATTTACATCGTCAATTTTACTAGTAGGGCAGGGAACAATATTGGAACTGTTTAATGAATGACCACGCGTCTTCATCCTTTAAGTCTCAACCTGTTAATTTCACTGCTTGTCTACCAACAACGGCGCAATCATTTGATGTCCACTGATCAAAACCGTCTCAGCAGGCAATTTGATAATCTTCTTCCGAAAAAAAACCGTTAATTATCCAAACACCTCACATCCACGAAACGCCCAGATCCTTTTGTACACCTCCACACCCATGCGTTTCAGAATACAGGAGTTGCTGTTTGATTTCCACTGAAGTGGGAGCAGAATGAAAATGAGCAGCTACCAACCTGGAACCACGCGGGAGGGCGTGTTGCTTTGGGAGACCGACTGACCCGAAATGGTCTGCGCGTAGAGGTTGGTTGGAGTGTTGTGCGGACCACTGGTCGAAGAGCTACCGACAGAAGCGCCCGGTTGGTCTCGCGGAAAGAAGTGCGGTGAGGAGGAGTGGGATACAAATGTCGGCGACGTGCCAGTAGCATTCTATGTGGCAGAACTGAATCCATTACTACAAGTAGCCTCTCCTAGATCTGTTTTGAAATAGATTTTCCCCTCATCAACGCGAGTATGCGTTGGTGTTATCTTCAAAGGTCCTTTTATCAGAACTTAACCGATTTATGACTGTTTTAGAACTGAGGAAAAAAGGGTGTGGATGTAATGAGCTCATTTAATGTGTTATTTTTATTGAGTGGCTATGTTCTCTCTACCGTTGTGCTAATGCAAAATTGTAACACCGTTACTACGAAACGAGTATGATAAATTGATGCTAACATTTCGTCTTCTGACTCATCAAAGGCTTAGAAGTGCCAATGGGAGCAGAATGTGATTGGAAAAGCCGGCATTCCTGCATGCTTGGAGACTATAAATGTGGAGTGTTGCGTCTGGGATGAAGTTAGCGAGGCAACAGAAAACTGAGATAAAAGTGACGCACACCCTTCAAACCAATTTATTGTTTGACTGGCCTCCAAAACCATGCCACATCAAAGGGGAGATTTTATTAGGTCTGGTTTGTGATGAATCAGAAGGGAATTGCGTTACTGCTAGAGTTCCAAAACTACCACCTCTTTTGGAGGAGGCGGCTGAAGGGCGTTCTGACAGTTGATAAGATGTTAGCATCAACATGTTACCAACAGCATATGCATCTCGAAAAATTAAAAAAAAAAAATAAAACGTTGCAGAACCAAAGATAGCTGACAATAGGGGGTCAAATAAACGCAATTCGTTTCTCGGGTGCATAGTAAATCATGCTTTCTTGAGACATTTTGAATTTCACAATCGCTAACACCCAAAATTTGTCATTCATTAAGAAGACGAAAGAATAATTCACTCATCTTTCACTACCAATGAGACCGACTAGAAGGTTCCCAACGCTATTCCATCAATGACTTGTGAGACCTGACGTCACAGGCAAACAGCATAAATTGTAGGGCATTTTAGAGGCGGTGGAAAAAAGTTTATTTCCTGCTACAACCATCATTTGTTACCCTGACATCGGCCTGGGTCTGACAGCAAGCAGACATGAATTACGAAAACAAACTTATCGACTGACGACTTCAAGTTAGGCTCAATGAGCTAATGGCAACAGATACGCCCACAGGTAATCTCATGAACGACAAAGGGACAGACAGCATCCCAAACTCACGGACCATCGGAGAATCATGTCGATTAAACTTTTCAGAGCCATCAACCAGACCACATTTTGGTTAGACTCCTTTCCATGCACAGCATCATTCAATGTAGGTTTGAGATAAGTGGAACAGAAAACTGAGCTTAATCGTAACGAGCCTTCTATGGTTTTGATGGTGACATTAAGGAATTCCTCTGTCCTATCTATGATGCTGAGATTAGACATTTTCTTATGAAAATGATCTCAAATTAGGAACGAAGTTGTTTGCTAGGCGTAGTTGATATGTAGAACTCGTGATGACAAGTGCGGAACGAATGGGTCTGACGATCTCCACACAAACTCCATTTTTGACTGCTATCCTAATGCATGTGGATGTTACCAAAACTGTCCAAAACTTCATCCAGTAGTCTTAGCCATTAGCAAAACGCCTGTCGTCAAATCTCCACATTTAGCACCAGCTGTATTCCATTCAAAAAAAAATTTGGTAATTTTGGGTGTAAACGATGCATGAGGAAGTATTGGCGTTGACGTGTCAGGTAATTTCGATTTGGTCATGAGGCTCTCTGCACTTATTTCAACGTAAACTTCAAACAAATAGAAAGTCCATGCCATTCAGTACACGAATGAATGTGGGAAAGTAGAGGGCCTGCAGATCGACGTGTGGTACAAGACTTTCATTTGCTGCAACCATCAGGCTAATCAATGACAAGCTTGATGGATTTCGATGCCTTGTTGCAACCTTATAAATAGCTGATCAGACAATGTAACCGAATCTCGCACACACATGCATAGATTTTTGAGTTCACAAATTCAGGTCAATGAAATCAAAATACGCCTCCTGCACCATGGAATCTGGATAAAAGGACTACCTCACAAGGCACCGTTTCATTATGCACCAAAGGATGAAAACAAGATTGGATGAAATGGGCTCGACAACAATGCCAGTCTGAGTCATTTGGCATTTTTCTTAGACCTCCGACCAGGAGGAAGTGGAGGGCATGGTTTTCACCACGAGCGGACATCACATGCATGCAGGAAGCCTACGTGACTCATCACACCCTGAAGCGTGTGTGCCTGTCTATGGCAAGCGGTAATGACGTCGGCCAGAGGACGGACGATTAACGAGAGGCTTGATGAAATTGACAGGTACACATACCAGGTGGCGGCTTTGACAATGCGGTATTTGAGGGATCCAAGGAAATGAGCACTCGACTGCTCAACTACCTTTACTTAAATCCAAATGAAATCGTCCAATGAACAGCGTTTATACGAAGAAAAGGACAAATCGAGAAATACCAACTGAAATGCACATTCGGTTTACAAACAATAAAGTTTACGTCTAAACAAAAGTGTTTTAACTTGTCTTCGTCAGGACTATAGCTGTACAAGCCATGTAAAAAATGTATCTCAGGTGGCAGACTAAGCAAAAGTGTTGGTCGAATAAACTAATGTGAATTTTAATGAACAGGGAAACCTTGCCACCCGATAGGAGGTTTCCAACCAACACACTCCTTTTAAAGGATTCCAATTGTAAGAAACAAATGGTGTGCACCACTCTAAGGAAGAAGATCTAACGTTTAATAAATGCAAATGACCACGATTAGTCGCACATTCATAATAACGTATGATGGATAAATTTGCAAGTGTTGTTTTAAAGCCATAATGGGGCAGCCACAAAGCAAACTTCCATAATCATATGCACTTTAGTGTAAATAGTGTTGTAATGAACTAAACGACAGCACACTGCACTTATAAGGATACCTTAACACTAGCAGATTTCATGGAATGTTAAATGCTAGGTCTCCACATTGCCAACACAAATAACACTACGTAAATGTAGGACTAAACAAAATGTTGCTAATCAAATTTGATATGTAAAAGTAACTTACAGAAAAAGTAGCATGTTGTCAAAATAGCAAGGAATTGCAAGCGAATATGACAACTGGAAGAAGTTCCAACCTTCGTTTGCAGGGATAGATTTAACAACATAAATATAAAGCACTTTAGAAAAGACTCACATTGAAAAAAGAGGAATTGGACGGTGAAACGGGTTCCAGTGAATGTGTGTTGCGGGGTTGATGAAAAACAAGCGATGCCAGGCTCGGATGTCGAATGGTAGCAGTGCAGATGGTTTTTCTTGGCGCAGTAAAAATGACAGTAGAGAGTTTGTTGTTTGATGGCTGCAATGCCGGCCTAAGGGGAGAACGAGTGGCGTTAGTGGAGTTAAAGACCACAGCATAGTCGTCCTCAGAGCGAGATGCAACGGGCACGCCAGTGGGGAGGGTAGTGCACAGCAATTCAGGGTGATGAAGACAAGATTGGTGGTGAAAGTGATGTACATGTATCTGAGGTGTTGTTGGAGTTGTTTCACCAACGGATGGAGCAGCGGTAACGGTGTCTACGGCAGCGGCAATTGCCAAAGTGAGGGGGTCCGTTTCCGTCTTGGCAGACGACATTTTCACAGCATACTAGCTTATAAAAGGTAAATAAACTCATCTAAAACAAAAGTATTGTAACATTACGTAACGGCACTATTAAAAGAAGGTACAATCAAAGCGAAACTCACAGTTCAATACGACAGGGTTTCAAATAAGGAAAGCTAGGGAATGTGGGCAATTAATACTAAATCAACATAAAATCTTATCAAAATCTCAATCTTCTTTTGCGTTTCGACTGTGTAAAGAATAAATTTCGCTAAATTTTGTAGATTTTAACAAATTGTGAGAGGGTTTGAAAACCCGGTCTCTACTCCTGGAACATCTGGATTTTGGTTCTACGATCAAAAAGATAACTTAATGTGCCGACCATCTTAGCAATAAACGCGTGAAAACAACATATATCAAAAATAAACCAACACGCAGAACTACTCGTACGCACATATGCCTCAGCCCTCCAAGGTCACAGGTTAAAAAATACAAGCGTTCATAATAATTATTCCTGGAATCGATAAACAAAATCTCTTCATAAAAAATTGTATAACATACGTTTTGCATTAAGCAATAAGAAAATGAATAGGAGAATTGTTGTAGCAGTATTTAGATACCCAAAAAATAAAAAAAAAGTTATTTTAAGGCATGTTGCTGTGCCTCAGTAGCGTTCCGTAACCTTCAAATCGCAATAGAGGCCGGAATACTAAAAAAAGGCAGGCGTTTGGACTAATTTGACTGTAGCCTCAAGTCTTGTGTAGGAAAGGGTGATGTCCTGCAGAATGATGATTGCAATCAAAGTGACAACCAATCACACAGACAGGTGAATGTAAGAAGTACTTGGTATCCGCCATCCCTTCTGAGCTAAGTTTTCATGATATCTGCAATGTTTTGTTTATTTACATCTGTCAGCGACTTCAAAACGCGTCAAACTCTTAAACGCGCGGCCTGGCCTTCGTGCCAAGCCAAGGCTTAATCACTGCCCTCCCTGGATTACATGCATTCAACTCCATTTAAAGCCATCTTCCGCGTGGTGTGAAGCCCCGAGACGCTACATTTTTGGCAGCGAAATGCACATCCGACATTTTAACGACTTTTATTCTAGTATATACATTTGTTGTAAGTGCCAGCGGTGTCGAGGATGTACAAATACATCTCAGACGGGAGAATCTCTGCTATCTTCGCAACAAAAAGTTAACAATGATGTGTGCGTTTGGCTCCCTCTTTCCAAGCTAGCACCAATCGAAGCGAATCACCTGGAAAAGCTTCGTGTCCCGATCTCATAACTACTACTTCCGCGCATAGGTGTCGGAATTGATACTGAGGATCTTCTTATATATGGGACTGTGTTTTCTTTGCAATGCATCTGCTTTAAACCAAGGTTCCACCATCTAGTCATGGAAGCAATTAGTGGTTAAAAGATGTATATGCGAGCCCGAATTCTGCTGCCCAACCAAACGTAACTCTAGGGTCAGATGAGGGTGCTGAGGAGACCAATTGCCCTTCCTCGTTCTCATGGCAGCTGTTTAGTGGCGCAGCTGGCTAGTGGGTAACTTGTTGCAGTACCGAATATTTTGTGACGGTTGGTGCAGGAGGTGTGCCAAGGGAGTGCCGAGGAAGTTGCTCAAAAAAGGAGGGGAGCAGTGTAATGCATTGCTTGTTTTGCTAGCTGGTGTTTGGCAGTCAATTTGAGGATCGTCAGGTCCTAGTACGTGTGGGCTGACCTTAGAGCCAAGTTCGGGATTGCTCCCTTTAGCCCAACATTATATCTTCTTCTATCTGATGGGAAGTCTGGGGATGCTACAGTATCCCTGATAACACACTGTGCCAGTCGTTGCAAGCCATTTATATGCTGCTAACTAGCGAAAGCATCAGAACCCTATAAGCGAGGGTTTACACATAATTCTTCTAGCATCTTCAGATCGATTCTAAATTGTGTAGGAAATGCCCGCCTAGCCTCATGCTCTTGAACTACGGACTTTAAGAGAGATTTAGTTGCAGTAGATTTTTTAGCCATTTATTACAGTAAAACGGCAAACAAAGAGAGATTCCTCGCGATCCTCACGCATTGGATTTGCATTCCAAATTGGTTTCTGCCTCCATCCTGTAAATGTCAACTTAAAAAATAGCATATATTACGAATTTCGCTTTAGTTAAAGTCAGATAACGAAAGGAGAACTGTGTGTTTGACTTAGAATTCAAGAATTTTATTGGCCATTTTAGCGTCAGCTGACAGTTGGACCTAAACAAGTTCTGATTTCTTTTTCTGCTCCTAGATTACTTCATTTTGCTTAACTCACTACCTTCTTCTCCTTAAAGGGTAGTCTCTGGACTCTACAGGATCATTTATCAACCTTTTAATATTTTTCACGAAGTGGTGTCTTGGAGCATTTTTCTTGAAAAAAAAGCATACTAGGTTTATAATTTTTTAGGTGACCATCTGTATGATTAGCGTGTACTTGGATATTTATCGTACTATCTACGCGTGGACTGGTTTTTAGATCATTTAGATCATTGTTTATCTGATCACCTAACATTCGGCGCTCACTTTAGGATTTGTCTAGCCCTTGTACACGTGGGCTAGCCATGCCCAGGCTCTTTTGCTCTGTTTCCTATGGAATACACGCTTTTAGCCTCATCCACTGCCTTTTACCAAAGCACAACCCCTTAATACTTTCTTATATTGATTAGGAACCCCTCTTACTGCTACAACTAAAACTTCGACATATAAAAATGATATTCGCGGAAGGGTTTAGCATGCTGCTGTTGTCAAAGTTCTGATGCGGGTGGACTATAGGGACTTCAGTAAGGAGCATTTCATGTATCAAAACAATGTTGTTGGCAGCTAGCCTGCCTAACACCGATGTCGTTCCTTGTACCCCTATTGTGAACAAGTTACACGTCTTCTAAATATCACGTATTATATGCACCTCAAAGCTAGGCTCAAACGGTGGAGGGCGGTGTTTAAGAGATGAATGTAGTGTACGGAAACTTCGCATTAACTAGAGCCAAAGCCTGCAGGAAAAGAAAAAGTGGGAGAACGATCTTTGTCTTGGCCCGCAAACCAAGTTACGAGCACATATGTATGGTGTGCACTAAAATGATCACCGGTCAATCGGGCGGTCACATGTGTAATGCTTTGTTTATGCGACTATCTGACGTTTGGCGGTCACTTTAGGACTTGTCTG